TGAAGCCCGGGAAATTCAAATCCCGGGCTTCATTAGCAAGTGCGGTATGCATACATTACCCCGCTAGTTCGAACTAGCGGGGTAGTGTAGACATACCCCAACTTACTCTCTGTTTCTTAACAATCATCAAAACCAGAGGAGCCATGCGAAGCATCCCGTGCGGTGCTCCCACCCCAAGTAAGACAGCTGAACCAGTCAGGATTGGGTCCATCTGGGGGGGCTCCAGGTTCCACCTGGTGTCATTGGCACAGGGTGGCGATCTGGCAGCTCTGATCTTAGGGCTGTGTCCTGGAGCTGGTTCCCAACAAACTCCCTTTTGGGCCCTAGTTTATATAGTGGAACTCAAGTCCTGCTTAGCTCAATCATCACCGCTTATTTTACTCAAATGTTACTAACCAGTCCTAACATAAGAATGGCCATCGGGTCAGACCAGTGGCCAATGCCAGATGCCCCAGAGGGAATGAACAGAACAGGGAATCGTCAAGTAATTCCCACCCCTGTCAGAGGCTAATGACCATTCCTACCCAACCTAGCTAATAGCCATTAATAACCTATCCTCCATGAATGTATCTAGCTCTTTTTTGAACCCTGTTAAAGTCCTGGCCTTCACAACATCCTCTGGCAAGGAGTTCCACAGATTGACTATGTGTTGCATGAAGTAGTACTTCCTTTTGTCAGTTTTAAACCCGCTGCCTATTAATTTCATTTGGTGACCCCAAGTTCTTATATTATGGGAACAAGTAAACAATTTGTCCTGATTCACTTTCTTCACACCAATCATGATTTTATAGACCTCTACCCTATCCCCCCTGAGTCTCCTCTTTTCTAAGCTGAAAGTCCCCATCTTTTTAACCTCTTTTCATATAGGACCCGTTCCAAACCCCTCATAATTTTTGTTGCCCTTTTCTGAACTTTTTCCAATGCTCAGGTATCTTTTTTGAGATGAGGCAACCACATCTGCACGTAGTATTCAAGATGTGTGTGTACCCAGGGCCAGATTATCCATTAGGCACAGTGCCTAGGGTCCGTGGACAAACTTAGGGCCTACAAAAAGTTCAGGTAAAAAAAATTCATAATGGACTTGAAAGAAAATAAAACTGCTAAATCAAATTACACAGTCACAGCAGCAACACATCCTCATGGCCCCCTATAAAATGATTAACTATCAGGTACCATCCAAAGTATAATTGTAGTATACATCGACATGGTTGTTATTTTAGCCTGAAGTACCATGAATTGCTCATACAGTGCACCACTTTCAAGAGTGAAACTTGAAGTGGGCGATATTAGACGTACAGGTGAGAGGGCATTTCACCCTTATATAATCTAATTTAAAGGCCCATGGTACGCCTAGGGCCTGTGAAGACCTTAATCCAGCCCTGGGTGTACCGTGGATTTATGCAAAGACAATAAGATACTCTCTATCTTTTTCCCTATCCCTTTGTTAATGATCCCCCTGTTAATGATTTGTTAATGTTCTGTTGTGCTTTTTTGAGCGCTGCTGTCTAATTACCTATACTGTCACTGAATTGCCTAACCAATCGTGCCCTACTACGTTAATGGATTTACACCTGGCAAAATGAATTATACAGCAGCCAGAAACAATTACAAAGCAGACAGACCAACAATGGGAAAGCGAGGGCTGTAATCATAGAATGAGGATTTTACAACCCAACTCTTGGGAAGTGGTTTCTGGCCAGAGGAGATGCTGTCACACTGAGTTTTCTTGAACCAGTTTTGAGCTTTATCTGGTTACAGCAGGTGTCCTTAGGGTGGGTCTCCTTCTGGAGAGCCTGGGGGTGACACTATTGGAATGCAGCTTAGATGGTATGTGAGAATGTGAGTCCCTGCTTGACAACTAATGGCGGCTGTTCTTTCAGTGTGCGGATGAAAGCCTTACCCTTTGGCCTTACAATATGGCTGCAGAAAAAGGCCTTATCCATACACAGTGCTTTAAAAACCCATGATACACTTCAGTGTGCCACAAGAAACCAGGTGGAGGGGAAGCCTGTGCCCCCCTCTGGGCCTTACTTGTGCACCCCAATCTCCCCCTGGCATTAGAGGGTGCCTGGCCATTTGGCTGGGCTCAAATCCCAGTGGTGGGTAGTTCTGCAGGGAAGTGAGGTTAGAATCAAATTCCAGTGGTGGGGAGTTCCACAGGGAAACACAGTTTGAATCAAATTCCAGTGGTGGGGCGTTCCACAGGGAAGCATGGCTGGGGATCAAATTCCAGTGGTGGGGAGTTCCACAGGGAAGCATGGCCGGGGATCAAATTCCAGTGGTGGGGCGTTCCACAGGGAAGCATGGCTGGGGATCAAATTCCAGTGGTGGGGAGTTCCACAGGAAAGCATGGTTGGGATCAAATTCCAGTGGTGGGGAGTTCCACAGGGGAGCACAAAAGCTGGAGGCGGAGCCAAGGCTGTAACAGGCTCCTGTCTCCCTCTGGCCCTGCAGCACATGTTGGCCATCGGCAGCCTGGAGCACGCCTACATCGTGCGGCTGCTGGGCATCTGTCCCGGGACGCAGCTGCAGCTGGTGACGCAGCTGCTGCCGCTGGGTTCGCTGCTGGAGTACGTGCGCAAGAACAAGGACAGCATCGGGCCGCAGCTTCTGCTCAACTGGTGCGTGCAGGTTGCCAAGGTGAGTTGCCCCTCCGCTCTTGATGGAGTTTCCCCGGGAATCCCCTCCACGGTGGTGTCCAGCCAACCTGGAGGTGGGGCAATCTGGGGCTGGCAGGGCCCATGCAGAGCTGGGCTTTGGGGGAGGTGTCCTTGGCCGGAGGTGGGCCTGGCTGGGTGGTGGGAGGAGAAGAGCAGAGAAGGCTCAGAGGCTGGGGGGTGGCCCTTCCCCACACCTGCCTCTGAAGTGCTGCTGCCCTCAAGGGAAGGCGAATCAGGCCTGTTCGTCTCCACTGGGGTGCTGACACTGAATCCTAAGGGAGGGTTGTTCTGAGCATGTCAGTGCTGTTAGTGCCTTCTCTTCTCTTTTGGGGAGGTAGGAGGAGCCTGTGGCGGTGTGGGTGGAGCTTTTCCATGGAGGGAGGAGCCTGATGCCATGGGAGGAGCTATGCGGGTTGTGTGTGGACCTTGAGGCTGCACCACTTTAGCAAGTATGCCCTGCTGGCTCTGTAGTTGTGGGTGGTGCTTTGAGCAATGGGTGGAGCCTAGGATGATGGGTGGAGCTATGCCATCAGAGATGAGAGGAGCTTGATTCTATAGGTTGAGATAGGGCAGTCTGCTGCTCATCACTGGAGCTACGTCTGCACTGCCAGTTTTTGCGGCAGAAAATATGCTAATGAAGGACTCATTTACATGAGTTGTGATCTCATTTGCATATTTTCTGCCGATCCGTTTTTGCGCAAAAACAAGTAGTGTGAGTGTTTTCTTTTTGCGCAAAAACCCTTTTGTGCGCAAGATCCTTATGCCTCCAAAAAGGAGGTATACCCAACTTGCACAAAAAGGAAACGTCCACACTGCTTGTTTTTGCGCAAAAACGGATCGGCAGAAAATATGCAAATGAGATCACAACTCATGTAAATGAGTCCTTCATTAGCATATTTTCTGCAGCAAAAACTGGCAGTGTACCCATAGCCTGGGATAAAACTTGAGTGAACCCCTCACCTCACCTACCTGCCCCCTGGTCACCGCCTCTCACTCCCAGGGCATGTACTACTTGCCGATCTGCTCTACCCCGACGACAAGAAATACTTCTACAATGAGATCAAGGTGGGACGCAAACCCAGGATCCCCTCTTCTTCCCCCCATGCTCATACTGGAGGCCACGGAGCTTCAGGCCCACTCTGGCAGGATGTCCCCTGAGGCTGTCTGCCTGCGTTGGGGTCACCCTGACCTAAGTTTCCTGTAAGTTGCGCGACTGTGCAGCTGCACATCTGTTTTCTGAGCTCTGCTCAGGAGTTCAAAGCTCCTGCACAGGCAGGGAGCTCAGCTGACTGGCAGGGGGAGGAGCATCATCTTGCTAAGCAAGCAGCTAAATGCCTGCTTTAAACTGAGCAGCTCCCAGAGCAGGTAAAAAACAAGATAAGGAGGAAATAAGTGGCTGGGGGAAGGAGGAGGAGAAGGAGGGAGGGAGTAATTGGCTGAGGGGAAGTCAGAGCGGAAGGGAGTTTGGAAAGTCCCATCTGTATGAGAAGAGAGAGGCAGAAAGACAGCACTCTCAAGCCTGGGAAGGGGGATATAAGGGGCTGATTGCATGTGGTAGGTGGGGTGGATGCTGACCTATGTGCAGTGAGGTGGAGGCAGGGGGCAGTTTGTTTGGCGTGTCCTGACTTCTTTGCTGCAGTCCTCCCTGGCTGGCTGGATTGGAGGGAGGGGAAAAGCAGGCTGCATGGGGGGGTGGGGGGGTTGTGTGTTAGGAGGACATTTGCATGATTGCATTTCAAACAAAGCTTGCATAGGTGTTAATGGCTTAAGGTAGGAAAGAAAAAGATTATTTTCACAGAATTTTTTAGAGTGTTGCAGATATCTAAAACTCTGATCAGATAAGGATCTTGCGCAAAAAGGAAACATCCACACTGCTTGTTTTTGTGCAAAATCCCAAGCGCAAAAACAGATCGGAAGAGAGTATGCAAATGAAGTGCGAGAAAATGCTAATCCGTGCTTCATTTGCATAGGCTCTTGCGGCAAAACTCATGGTATAGATGTAGCCTATCTGCCTACAAACCCTGAAGCCATGTGTTAATTTGTTCTGGGGCTTCTACTCTTTGAGTTTTGTTACTCTCTAAGGTGCTGCAGGACCATTCGGTTTTTTTTTTCAGTTAGGGTACATCCACACCTGCACCCTCTTTTGAGAGAGGGATGCAAATGTAGACATTTGAAATTGCAAATGAAGCCGGGATTTAAATATCCCATGCTTCATTTGCATATTTACGTTATGGCGCGATTTCAAAATAGCGCTATTTCGAAAAAAGAAATGCTGTCTAGAAGCGGGTATTTCGAAAGAAAATCCTTCTTCCGAAATAACTGGTAAACCTCATTGTAAGAGGAATAAGGGTTATTTCAGAAGAAGGGTTTTCTCCCGAAATAACCGTGCCTAGACAGCATTTCTTTTTTCGAAATAGCGCTATTTTGAAATCGCGCCATAACGTAAATATGCAAATGAAGCATGGGATATTTAAATCCCGGCTTCATTTGCAATTTCAAATGTCTACATTTGCATCCCTCTCTCAAAAGTGGGTGCAAGTGTAGACATGCCCTTACAGACTAACATAGCTACCCCTCTTTGAGTTGGTGACACACACCAGGAGAACTTTTATCTGTTTTTATAGCATAAATCTTAAATATTCCCCAGAGAAAGTGCATACGCCTTAGTGAATGCCTTTTACTTTCCTTCCCGGTGTCAGTAAATATTGTATTAGTCATGCTCATCTTGCAAATACTATTTCTAGTTGACTCATAAATTTGTGTAGCATATTAAAGCTGAGCTATGTGTGGATAATATGCATTTTGGTGTCTTTACTAGCTTGAGTTAAAAAGGATGATGATACATATACTCCAAGGGTAGTGTTAATTTTCTTTTTTGAGCATTGCTCCTTGTTAACTATCCCTTGTTTTAATATATTTTCTTCCACATATATGGACTGCTATAGATAGGCAGACAAATAGGTAGGTAGATAAAATCTGTGTGTTTTGTATTGGTGGTGTACACACTCGCACGCACACACTCGCACGCACACACTCGCACGCACACACTCGCACGCACACTATCTCAGTTCTGGTGTTGCACATAAGACATTTCAACCCATCCAAAAGAATATTCAACCTGGAATGGAAAATGCTAGAGGGAATACTGACCCTGGCCAGCAAGCAGAGTGGGTGGGGACACGGAGCAGCCCCAATGCCCCCTGGAATCCCGTCCCAGTGGTTTCTCCGGCCCTGGCGTTGCTACATTGGCAGAAGCACCCTCCAAGTGCCCCCTGCCCGGGTAACGCTCCTTCCTCGCCTCTCATCCTGCAGACACCCATTAAATGGATGGCGCTGGAAAGCATCCACTTCGGGAAGTACACGCACCAGAGCGATGTCTGGAGCTACGGTCAGTGCCCACCGAGCATCGCCCCCAGGAGGCTGGGGCAGCCCGTGGCTGGAGTAGCCAGAAGCTGTCCTCCTCACCAGCACCCTGCCCCACTCCCCACAGTGCCCCACCCTGCTGGGTCCCATGTGCACCCCCCAGCACAGAATTCCCCCCCCCCAGCCGCCCCTGGCCTGACCCTGGCTCTCATCCCCCGTCCTGGCAGGCGTGACGCTGTGGGAGATGATGACGTTCGGGGCAGAGCCCTACACGGGGATCCGGCTGGCCGAGGTGCCCGACCTGCTGGAGAAAGGCGAGCGGCTCACGCAGCCGCACATCTGCACCATCGACGTCTACATGGTGATGGTGAAATGTGAGTCGTTGCTACTGGGCGCGTTGTCTCCCTGCCGCCCCCTGCTGGCGGGGCTGGGCCCGGCTCTGGATGCTCTGGTCCCAGCCCTGGGGGGCAGTTTGTGGGGGAGATTGGCCCTGCCCGGAGGCCAGGTCGCACCCGAAAGGGAGGAGCTTTTCCCCATGGTCTTGGGGGAGAGTTGTCAGCTGGGGTACAGCTTGTGGTGGGGGCGGGTTAGAGTACAGCCCTGGGCAGACGGCTGGAAGGTCGCTCCCCATGTGCTCTCCTTCTGACCTAGCCTTTCAGGTGGGGCCTACAGTGCGGGGAGGTGTCAGGGGGCTGGGTCTCACCCCCGCTGGACCTCACCCCCCCCATTTCCTCCTCCAGGCTGGATGATTGACGAGAACGTCCGTCCCACTTTCAAGGAACTGGCCAATGAGTTCACGCGTATGGCCCGTGACCCACCCCGCTACCTGGTCATCAAGGTCAGTGTGGGTCATTCTCCACGGGGGGAGGACTGTCCCCAGCCCCTAGCATTCCCCCCGCCCCCATGACATACCTGACTTATGGTTCATTGACCTTTTAAATCCCCCATCTGCCCTCCCCCCCTCCATGTCTGCCCTGCCTGACACATGCACCCCAGGGAGCCCTGGTGCTGGGCGTTCCCAGCCCATCCCCCCCGCCCCACTCCTCAGCTGCGCGGGTGTGGGGCGGAGCGCTCTGCTCTGGGCAAGTCTTAGCTGGGCCCCCCGTCCGAATGTTAAGGTGGGCCTGCTCGCTCACCCCGCAAGGGTCCGGGCCCTGGTAGCGCCTCGCTGGCCCCTGATCTGGTGCTTCCTCCCACAGAGGGAGAGTGGGCTGCTGTCCCCCCCCCAACCCC